GGTTGAACTCATTCACACTCCCACCAACAGTGTGAAAGCGTTCCTATTTCTCCACATCCTAATGTGGCACCGAATGTCGATGACAGGTTGATGGGTGCAGCAAACTACCCTGTCCTGTGTATACCTATGTAACAAACCTGCACATTCTCCACATGTGTCCCAGAACTTAAAAGTATAATAATAAAAAAGATTGAAAATTTAAAATGCTAATACAAAATTAGGCTTTAGCTATTTGCAGAATACATTGTATTTTCAACGTGAAAAACAAACGGTTATTGTATGTATTATCAATAAAGTTATATAGTTTCTCATAAAAATAACATTAAAAATGGAAAATTCTAAAAGAAAAATAATTAAATTCCTTTAGGACTATTTAAATATGTATCTGTCAATTTTAACATGAAAATTCTCTTACATTTATACATCCCACATTCTAATAAGGACTAATTGACACGAATTATGAGCAGTAAAAAAATATGTGTATGCTTGTCTTTACACTTGTAGGTATGTATCTGTTCCTGTAAAAATATCTCTTTTGGAGTCAGAAAATCTGTTTGGTCCCAGTTCTCACTAAAGATACTTAATAAACTCAATAAACTTTACTTTACTCTTAATGAGGTAAGAATGAGAACACAGGCGCCAGCAATGAGCTGGGGTTCCTCTGGCACAGGCTTCAGAGATCCTACCTTTAACATCCTCCTTTCATTCATTTGAGCCTGATAAGAGAGGAGTGTCTTGGGAGAGGAGCAAGTATACAACTTGGGGTCAGACAGCCCATGGTCAAAGTTGAACTCCACCACTGTTCAGCTGTGTGACTTTGGCCAAGTGACTTTCCCTCTCTGATCCTCATGGTCATTTTTGGTAAAAACAGCACAATGACAGGTCTATGAAGATTGGAGGAGCTGAAATAAAAATGTGTGTCTTAGTTTGAGTTTCCTGGAAGTAGATCCTGAGGCAAAGATTCAAGTATAAAAATTTTATCTGGAGGTGACTCTAGGACAGCAATTATGCTGCCAGCTCTTCCTTAGGGTACTAATTGCAGGAAACACCAGTACAGGAGTGGGGAACTGAGACACGAATGGAATGCAGCAGTTAAAGGGACCTTCATCAAGAACATTTCCACTGTGGGCAGTCAGGACTCAGCCCTGCCGGGTACCTCTGAGACACAGCATAAAACGTGTGTCTCAGAGTCATCCCACCCGGAGCAAGGGAGTTCGGGTATTTATCCACTCATACCTACCAGTCACTTCTCCGGGCTTCTTCCAAGGGCATGATTCCTCCAGAATGCCCTGCCTGCACTGCAAGAATGAGACCTGGAGGGTCAGTGGCAAGGGCCCTGACAGCACCTCCAGCAATGAGCAGGACCACAGCCTGGCGTGGAGAATTTCAGTCCCTCAGTGACCCCAACACACACACACACACACACACTCACACACACTCTCTCTCTCGCTCACTCTCTCCCTCTCTCATGCACACACACATTCTCTCTCTCCTCTCACACACACACATTCTTTCTCTCTCTCTCACACACACACACCCCCCACACACTCCAACACCAGCACAGGGAATATGTACATACACACACATGCATACATGACTGTTACCCACTTAGATCCTGGTGAATCCGTGGGATAGAAGATAAGGTGGGAATCAGAGGGAAGAGCAAAATTAAGGGGAGTGAAGGTCTTGGGAACAAAATGCAAATGCAGTCAGAAAATCAAGAGGG